CCCGATTTGTGCCGCTTGCTCCTTATGGGCGAGGGAGGGGGAGAGACTGGTTACCAGGGAGACGCGGGGGCGGGGGGCGCGGCCGCGGGCTTTGCTGCTTCCGGTCCTTAAGTGGGCAGGGCGAGGGAGGTGGTCCCGCGAGAGTTCAGCCCATTCCCAATGAACCCCTGTTCCAACCATTGCTTGGATGGGACACCCGGGCCAAGGCAGGGAGGGTCTCAACAGAGGTCGGACACCAAGCTAGCATGGTGGAGACCAAAACCCAGGCAGCCTGGCTAATCCCCTGACCACCTGTAGTTCTCAGAACTGCCTGTTAGGGGTATGATCCCATTTTATGGATGGGGAAACTGAGGCACAATGTGACCCGCTCGAGGTCACACAGCATATCTCAGCAAGAACCTGTGTCTGCATTCTCTGGGGGCGGGGGGGTCCTAAGGCCTGGCTGAGCCGGCAGGATTTGAGGCTGGGGGAGCCCACGGTGGGCTGTCAGGGCTAGGGGAAGAGGCACATGGGGCTGGCTGGGTTTTGAAGGATGAATAGGAGTTTCTCAGGCCAGGTGAATTGTGAAAAGAGGTATTCCAGGGAGAGGAATGAGTCAGCTCGGACCAGAGGGGATGGGCTGATGAATGGGGTTGTGAAATGCCCAGAAGTGGGGACCTGGGTACTTACCCACTGGAGGAGGTGCTGGGCAGCGTTCTTCTCAGGCCAGTGCTGGCTGGGTTCAGGTCGTATGCCAGGTGCCCCTGCAGCTCCCCCAGGGAGAAGTTGGGTCCTGTTCCGGTCACCACAGGTGCTGTAGAGGGTGAGAGAGGAGAGTGAGGCAGGAAGCAGTGTCCTGTGCTGCGGTTTGCTTTAGAGGTAGGGAAAGCCATTGGGTGCAGTCCAAAGGGGGACCCCCTTCCCATATTGGCCCAGTTCCTAGGGTGGCTGAAACCAGTTTTATTCTATGGATCAGAGGACCAAGGTCATGGGGAGAGGCCAAGAGCACACTGTGAGGCAGAGGCATAGCCAGAGCTCGAGGCCAGGCTCTGTGGATCTGGACAGGGAGAGTGTCAGTCAGGGCTAAAGAAGGACAGCGCCCAGGACTTGCTGAGGTGGGATTCAGACAGTGTGGGATGGAATTCGCTGGGTCCCCAGCAGGTCAGCAGGGAAAGCAAGGGGACAGGAGGAGCAGGGAGTGGGGGGGGTCCTCTGGGGTCTCCTGGGACAGGACAGTGGAGGCCCCAGGGAGGAGGAAGGATGCTGGGGCAGAAGGTTCCTTAGTTGCCATCCAGCATTTGGATTCTGTTTCCTGGGGAGGTGGGAGGGAGCCCTGACCTTGGGCTCTGGGAAGGGCCTGGCCCCCTCCCCTTCTAGGAACCTTGGCTTGATAACACAGTGGGTGTCTGGAAAGGACAAGGAGTAGGGTGAGGGGGTGAGCTCCTTCCTCCCTGCGGCCTCCTCCCCTCTCCAGGACCCAGCTCTGGGCTGACGGGAACACTCACTCCGGGACACTTGGATAAGCTCAGTGACGCTGAACACGCCAGAGGTGACAAAGCTCTCCTGGAAGTCGGTCGTGTCTGGAACAGGAAGACAGTGGGGTCAGTGGGCTGAGCCGGGCCTATTTCCCTTCTCCACACTCCAGGGCTGCCTGGACTCCTGGGGCTGGCCCGAGCCTGGGTGTTCACCCTGTCTATCTCCTGCAGTGGGGGAATGACAGCTCCAGTCCGATGGGGAAGGCCCCGGTTGGGGGGGTGGGCCCTTGTCCCGCATGGGTCTTCACACAGCCTTCATCCGGGCCCCCCATGCTGTGGAACACTGCCTTCAAGTGGACAGCAGGCCGGGCGCGGTGGCTCATGCCTGGAATCCCA